TTTTCTGCTGAGGGAAAAGGAGAGCCACTGCAGAGTTTGAGCAGAGAAGTGACATGATCTGACTGTGGTCTTAAAAGGATCACTCTGGCCGCTGTGTTGAGAATTGGCACCTCAGTTTCAAGGATGTGTGCAATGCCGTGCCAGCATCTTCTGTTTATACCTCCATTGTTCCCTCGAGCAGGCCTCTCTGTTTGCTGCTGTCCTCTTTCCTGAGAAATGGTCCCTCACTTGCTTCTCTGTCAGTTTGCTCTCTACCCGATATCCTCTGCTGACTTCACCTCACAGGTCCCAGCATGTGTCCTTTGGCTCCCGCTCCTCTGGCCTCATATCCTAAAGCGCGTTACATCTGGCTGGTTCTGCTTTTGTGTTAATATTGTTAGAAGCAGGGCCGCCTTTGCCTCCCTTGTTGTTTGTTGAACCTCTTAGGCATATGCAAATAAGTATTAAGCACTTGTTTTTTATATAACATTTAATTTTCTGCTTTCTGAAGCTCTGTCATCAGGCAGAGTCCTTTACAGAGGTAAGCTTTGTATGACTCCTGAAAAACTCAACAGTTTAAGCTGCTTTAAACAGAGAGAGAAAACAAGAAAATCTGTCTTATACCTTAAATTCCAAACCTGCAGACTCTTGGCAGCAAAACCGACAAACAACCCTTCTGCCACACATACACACAAACTTTTATGGAAACATATCTATTTAAACCAAATACACTTAGATTATGAGGAAAAATGCATGAATCATTTTTCCTGTAAAATCATCTTCCTCTGTAGTTTTCAATGCTTATCCTTTGATGTTAAAAAAAAAATAGAGCCTAAGGGACTTCTGATAAAGTTGGTGATATAACTGCAGGTTCACAAAATTCCCTTCCCACAGAATTGTGTAAGATTAACAAATATCAAATGTAAAAATAACAAAGAACATGCCATCAACCCTGAAACCAAGAAAAGATTCCAACTTCATACCATAAACTTTGAGAAGTGTCATCCAAAAAAAGAAAACTTGGGCCAAATTGAAAGAAGATGCTAAAAAAAAAATCGATACATTCTTCAAAGAGAAGGGTGGAGCATGGAGAAGTACAAGGAGGGAATCCTGAAAAATTTTACTTTTGAAGTAAAACTTTGCTTTTGAAGGTGCTACACTGAGTATAAAGGTGTACCAGCAGAAGGGCATAGAACACCCTGTACGTTCACTGGGGACCCTTTCTTTCATCAAGAAGACTTCTTTCATAAGCAAGAAGAGTAGGCAAGGTTTGCCATCTTTCCTGCCTATCAATAACTGGATGTAAAATGAAGTCATCTGCAGGCAATGATTATTATAGCTGAACCAAGGAAAGCTCCACTAGACATGGAAAAGGAACACTTGGTCCCATAACAAGCCGGAAGCCTGTGGTATTACCCGGATGTGGTGAAGCAAACCTCTGATGCATTTATTTCCCAGAATGAAGACCTTGCTGGCAGTTACTTAAAGCCCCTGCACACTCTCCTCTCCTCTTAGGCAACTAAATGACTGGATAAGGAATTATCCAGTCCATACCATAGGTGGAAGAATAAAGCAATATCAAATCAGGCACTGTTTGGGGGCAAATGGCAGACTGAGAAAGAATGACTTACATCTACTAAGTAGTTTTCAGGTCACACCAACGTGTGATGGAGGCAAAATATCTGCACGTGCAAAAAGAGAAGGTAGCACAACTCACTAAAGGTGAAAAAGAATAGACTTCCAGTAGCTGTAACAGCCTCTGCTTATTGAGCACTGACTACCCACCAGGCACTATTTTAAGTGTTGTGTATGTATTAACTCCATTAATCCTCACAACACTACAAGGTAAGCCTCACAATTATCCCCATTTTACAGCTAAGAAAACTAAGGCACAGAGGAGTTAAGAAGCTTGCCCAAGTTTACACAGCTTTTAAGAGTGGGACCAGGATTTGAAAACAGGCAGTCTGAGTCCAGAGCTGCTTCTCAGCTACTCTGCTTTTATAACTCAAGAAATAGACAACATTTTAGGCAACTGCTTTTTACTTTCAAGGAAATTTAAGAAAATACAAATGTATTGGCCATACACCATTTCTTGAAAGCTACTGGGAAGAGGAGGGAAGAAAAGCAAGAAAAAGAAAGATATAAGCTCAGAACTCAGATCCAACATGGAAGAGTAGTTTAAAAAGTCCCAGGATAGGGAACTGTTCAGTGAGCTTAAAGAACATAAGGATAAGGGGAATATTTAAAAAAAAAAAAAAAGATTCAGTTAATATGCTTAAGCAGAAAAATTATTGCCAATCATTTGATGAGTCTTTAAGAGCATTTGGCAGAAATTAGCAATAGGTATCTAGTAAATAAAGCAAATTTTAAAAACAAAGCAGTTACTAATGACAGGTAAAAACAAATACAGATAATAAAGTAAAGAAACAACATTCATATTCCTTAGCACAACAGGGAACCAAATATATGTGTAATATATAATATGATGCAATATAACATATCCATATCATATGTAAATTATTCAATATATAATAGAGTTAATATGTGTAATAATGTAAACATACCTTAACTTCATTGGGAAAATAGAGGAGAAGTAAGAATGATGGTGGGAGAGCTAAATCTCCATTTTGTGTGATTTGGATAGCGTGTAAAATGTCAACCAAGCAATCATAGTATACGTGGTTTTGGGGGTTTTGTTTTGTTTTGTTTTGTTTTGTTTGAGACAGGGTGTCACTTCCATCACCCAGGCTGGAGTACAGTGGTATGATCTCAGCTCACTGTAGCCTCAACTTCCTGAACTCAGGCAATCCTCCCACCTCAACCTCCTCAGTAGCTGAGACTACAGGTGCACACCACCACACCCAGCTAATTTTTCTGTGTTTTTCATAAACACAGGGTTTTGCCATGTTGCCCAGGCTGGTTTCGGACTCCAGGGCTCAAGTGATCCTCCCACCTCAGCCTTCCAGAGTGCTAGGATTACAGGCACCTAGCCATATTATTTATGAAAAATGCTGGATGAAGCATCTAAAATAGTTTGTGTGGATTGAGACTGGAGGTAGGGCGGTGGGTTTAGATGAGTGAAGAGAAGAGCCCCTGTCTTGTATTATATGCATGCTTGTGCTATTTGATTTTTTTCAACCGTTAAAAACCTAAATAAACCAACACAGATGAAATTATAAAGGTTATCAAGAAAGACCCCCTTTATAAAGTAGGTTTCTTTTAAAAGAAAACAAAGTACCGCTTAAAAAGTACTTACTTATAAAATGTTTTTTTCAATTTGCTAAAGAATCTAACCAAAAACATTCTAATAGAAATCTCTATAAAACACTTCTTGAAAATTAAAGATTGATTTCCTGTATAGATGTGGCTCCAGGTGGTCTTAAATTCCTTCCCTTAGAAAAAACAGCAACAAACAGCAGGAAACTTTAAAAATGTGTTTTGTCCAAGAAACTAAATCACATACTTTCACCCTATAATTGTATTTTTTTTGGTTTTTCAAGATACTAAAGAAGGGACCTTTATTTTTGCACGTGGGTGGAGGCGTAACAAAGCCATCTGTACAGTGGATTCAGCTACAAGGCGGGGAGCCATTTTGACTAAAAAGGGCTGCTGTACTGACGCCACGTGAGAGGAGGAGTCAGTTTTTATTGCCTCATTGTCTTGAAAGATTCTATTTATATGTGAACTCTAGATTACCAACACAAATTGCCCATATGTCATGTTTCCCTTAAATATTATGGTTTTTCTTGACCCATTGCGGGCCCTTGATTACCTCCCGTAGGTAGTGTGCAAACAAATCTATCTTTATTGTGCAGCAGGCTGAAAAGGGAGAGCACTGCAAGCACATGGTGTCCGTTCAGAAGTCCGAATGAGGACAAACCTAAAACAACTGAGTCAAATGAGGCGTTGCACAAGTTTTGCTGGGAGGAATTGGTGGGTACAGATGGGGATTTTTAAGAAGAAATAAAAGAAACCTGAGGGAGTCCGCAGAACCCATACTGTGGGCTTTGAACTAGAGGTTGAAAATCTTGGCTCTGAAAAGCCGGAGAGAGAAATAATACAATCAACCTAAGAATTGGAACGGTTATTTAAGTGGCAGCAGTAAATATACTGGGGCATGATGCTGATATGTATACAGAATTCATCGAAGAAAGTAACTAGGGTTTTTGGCCTCTCGGAGACTGGTAGCAGAAAAGGAAAGAAAGGAGTTTACACTGAAATATTGTAAAAGAAGGAGTAAACTAGTGGTGGAGAGGATATATAGGGGAAGAGCCAGTGATTAATTGAAGATCGCACCAAATTTGCGTTTGCTTGAGAAGTTGAGAAATACGGATACCTGGACAAAGGATCCTAAAAATACATAAGTATATCTGATTGTTCCATGCTTGGATGAAATTGGCATTGAGACATTTACGTAGTCTCATTGATTTCTGGGCACTGAGAAACTTTTAACAAAGATTCGCATGATATTAGTACGTAATCTGTTTTACCCTTTCCCCATGAATACATCTAATCCTTGAGCATTTGCATAGTGCCACGGGAGAGGAGGTGCACAGGCTGTGTGTAAATCAGTTTGTAAATCCAAAGTGGCATTATACCAGTGGCCAGCATGTATAATCTATGTAAAGTTAAGTTTCACAAGAAAACTATAGATGCTTATGGCATGATGTTCTGACTCATCTCACTTCCCTTCAGCATTCCTAAAATATTTATCCAAAGATATTTGCATTTTGGCTTTCTTCTTTTCTTGACAGTAAAGTTAAAAACAGGAGTCAGCTTCAGGCTCAGCACACACTTCAGTGGAGAATAATGAGCAGCTGGACAGCTGAAACAAAATGACTGACGTGACTCCCCGCGCCATCTGTTGGTGGCAGGTGGAACTGACATGCTTTGGCTCTGGCTGATTTTGTGCACAATTGTTAAGTTGCCTTGTTGAATTTGTAAGTACAGGAGATGCTATAATGTCAAAGCCATCGACAACTCAGCCAGCCAATGTTTTCCTTTTTTTCTCTATTGTGAAGGTGTGGCGGGGAACCCTGGCCCGCATGCGGTACAAGAGAACCAAGGCAGCTCTGACCATAATCAGGTACTACCGGCGCTACAAAGTGAAGTCATACATCCACGAGGTGGCCAGACGCTTTCATGGCGTCAAGACCATGAGAGACTACGGGAAGCACGTGAAGTGGCCAAGCCCTCCTAAAGTTCTTCGCCGTTTCGAGGAGGCCCTGCAGATGATTTTCAATAGGTAAGAACGTGTTGCTGTGTGCTGCAGCCATTTATGATGGCACAGTTAATCCTGTGCAAAGTCACAAGTCTAAGACCATGATATTGGCTCATCTATTTGCTGTTATGACATTTACCTTTACCTTATGTTTTCAGTTTTGTAGATTTGGCTTTCAAAGAGCATCTGCTTACCCCTCAAAATAAAGGAGCTGTCAATTTGTTTTTCCTGTAGCAGTTGACAGCAATGTGCCACAACCCCTGGACACAAGCCATAGTCAAGATAAGCTACTAGCATGCTGTTTCTACTTTCTTTTATTAGCTAAAAATAAAACTACCACACATAACTCAAACTAGAAAATCCATTAATCCTTTCAAAGCAGTGGTTCTCAATTCTGCTTAGAATAGCAAGGAGTTTAGGAAATACGCCAACATCCAGGTCCTACCACCAGAGAGTTCTGTTTAATGGTGCTTGTGGGGGGGGGGGCGCCCAGGCAGAGGTCCTTTTTTAAAGTTTCCCACATGATTTTAAAGTGCAGCCAAAGGGAAAAATAACTGTTTTTAGAGCACGCTATCTTTTACATAAATTAAAACCCATGTAAAATTTGGTACCTTTCCAACTGGTCTTTATTTTTTATAACCTGCTGTGGATCTCAGTGTGTAGTTATTCCAAGTCCCTTCTTGCTTTCTGAGCTGATTTATTGCCAGTATCCACCAGATAGATATAGTTAGTTTTGTCTCAGATACAGCCATCTAGTCACATAAACTAAGCTACTTTTTCTCAAATATAGTCATTTTACCATGATACTCCATAAAGAACACTTTGAACTAATTAATATGCTGAATGTACAAGAACTAATGTATAATTCCATGCTAAATCAGATTCTATCTTCTTTAGATTTCGCTCTATATATAATTGATGGAAAGTATCAAAAGATAAAGAAAACTGTGTGGAAGAAAACTCTTTTACATATCTTATTTACTTCTTTAAAAAAATAAATAATTGCTTGTAAGAAGAAAAAAATACAGAATTATTGAAAACAAAAGTACCTCGACCTTCAGTTCTCAAATACAGTTCTGTAAATAATTGGTTTTCAGTCTTGGCAGGCTTTTTACATAGTCACATATGATTTGGGCATATTTTTCTCTTTCTTACACAAACAGGATTATATGAATGGTTATCTGACTTTACTTAAAAAGATGTCTTGGAGACCTGTCCATGACAATAAAGATCTGTATAAGATTTTTTTTTTTTTTTTTTGAGACGGAGTTTCGCTCTTGTTACCCTGGCTGGAGTGCAATGGCACGATCTCAGCTCACTGCAACCTCCACCTCCTGGGTTCAGGGAATTCTCCTGCCTCAGCCTCCTGAGTAGCTGGGATTACAAGCACGCGCTACCAGGCCCAGCTAACTTTTTGTATTTTTAGTAGAGACAGGGTTTCACCATGTTGACCAGGATGGTCTCGATCTCTTGACCTCGTGATCCACCTGCCTCGGCCTCCCAAAGTGCTGGGATTACAGGCTTGAGCCACCGCGCCTGGCCTAAGATCTGTATAAGATTTTTAAGAGCTGTAGAAGATTGTTATTGATTATGATTAGATTGCTCTACAGCTTATACGGTCTTCTTTTTTAGATTTTGAGGTTTTACTTATGGCCTAGAAATGATTGATTTGTACAAAATTCAGTGTACTCATTTAGTGACTACTTACTGAATGCCCACTGTGTTCTGTGCAGTGACCTAGGTTTAAGGGATATGGTGACAAATAAGAAAGATGTGAAAGACAGTCCCAGTCTTCCCAGGCCTTATAGTCAATGGCATTTGAAAATAACAGATCTGCTGTTCTGTATATGCACACGTGCATGCACCTCGCACACTCGCACACACACACAGTGAGTGAATCTTGCCACTTGTGTCCATCTAGTCCATGGGTCTGCACACTTTTTCTGAAAGGGCAGGATATTAAGTGTTTTAGGCTTTGTAGGCTACAGATGTTCTCTGTCACATATGCTTCTTTGTTTTGTTTTGATTTTGTTAAACATGTAAAAATGTAAAAACTATTCTTAGCTTGTGGGCAGTACAAAAACAGGCCATGGGCCAGATTTGGTACAGGCTATAGTTTGCCAACCCCAATCTAGTCACTATTGGGAATTTTTTGATCTGTGGAACACAAAGAGAAATGGATTAAAGAATTCTGTGATTGTAGCATTCTTATGTTTGTTTTTCTGAAATCTCAATGTACATTGAATCATGATTAAGTTCACTGCTGTTTTTCACAGTAATTCTTTGTAATTGAGACTTCTCCATGCCCAGCTTTGTCCCTTTTTCATGTCATTGAGGTTGGTGATTTTTATGGCTGCAGCTGTTGTTGGCTACACATATTTATAGACAGCAGTTTGCTTGATTTGCATGAGAAGCATGGGTGGCTTTCTCCATGGTTGTGTAGCTCAGGTCCTGAATCCCCCAATGTGCATCTGTGGCCTCTGGAGTCAGTCAGGGACAGACCTTGTCCTGAGCCACTGTGAGCAGTGAAGAAGGGACAGTCTGACCAGGTTTGTAGACTGGAAATAGACCAGTAGACAGAGCAAAGATGTCTCCCCACCAGTCATGAAATTTGGAGATCAAAGGCTGATTTGGGAAGTTGCTTAGGAAGCCACTATTATAAGACCCACCTGTCAAAGTGTCCTTGACTTTGACCACCAACTGCTCCAGGCCTGTCACTCTTCTAGTCTCTTCTAGAATGATCTTAGGACAGTCTGTCTTGTTGGAGTGTTGGTTGGCCATAGGAAGTAGAGAAGAGGATTCCACTGTTCTGTTGAGCCATTACTTCTTTACAGTATTGCTTTGGCAACCTACTATCTGTGACCCACATGTGGCCAGCCATTCCATGTGTAGGGAACAGGCACAGCTCTCACCTTAAAATCCTTCACCTCCTGCCCCTGCTACCAGTCTCTGCCACTTCAGGCTTAAGGATTCTCGTCTATGCCTGAGGGGCCCTCTCCTTCCACTGAGTAGAGTGCTCTGCCCTGAGCCGCTTCCCCGTCAGCCAATCCCATCTGCTTTGTATCTTCCAGAAAATCATTATGCTTTCTACTTTATTGACATCATTCCCATTTTCTAGTGTTGTTAGAAATTTTTCCTTATTTTTATATTTATTTGGTTATTTCAGTGGGAATTTTCCATTTTAGTTAAATCTCATTCAATGGAAACAGGCTCAAGAACAACTGGCCTTGATTATTCATCTGATGAAAAGGAAGTTCTCAGTTTGTTTCTGCTTCAAGCTCCTGTGGCAGAAAAGAGGATATAAGTATCATGTAGGGCTAGGATGCTGCCAAGAGCATAAGAGAAGTTGTACCTGTTTTTCCCAATCAGGAATAGTTTATTTTTGGTTTAAGCTTTCAGTTGCTTAGCCAAAAAATCTTGGAGTCGTCCTTAAATCCTCTCTGGCTCCCACATCTAATCCATTGTCAAATCCTATTTGTTCTTCCTTCAGAAATATCCAGAACCAACACTTATCTCCACCTCCACCTCCCTGATCCAAGCCACCTTGCTCTAGCATGTGTGTTACGGAAATAGCCTCCTAACAGGTCTTCCTGTTCCCAGCCTACAGCAACCACAATGATCCTTTTAAAGCTTGAGTCAGGTCATTGTTCCAAACCTTCCAATGGCCTCTCATCTCATTCGGAGGAAAGGCCAAAGTCCTGGTGATGATCTCATGCATGACTCTGTGGATTCTGACCCTGATTCTCCCTGCTCCTCACGCTGCTCCTCTAGCATACCAAGCAAGCTCATGTCCCAGAGCCTTTGCACTTACTGTATTCTCTTCTCTTCCTGGAACACACTGGTTCAGGTCTCCATATGACCAGCTCTATCACATCTTAGAGGTTTCTGCTCATCTATCCTTATCAGTGGTGCCTGCCCAGACTACCCTGTATAAACCACACCTACTCCCCATTCCTTCCCTCTTCCGTACTCCCTGGCCTCCGTGCCTTACTTTCACCATCCTACATGCTATATGTCTACTTATATATCTATTGTCTGTCACTCCTTTCTAGAATATAAGCACCTAGGAGAAAGGACCTCTGTTTGGCTTATTACTGTGCCCCCATTGCCTAGAACAGCACCTGGTGTTTAGCAGACACCTAGAATGAATGAATGAATGATGAACCCAGTTTTCTATGTCCTAAATATAAATTTTATGAGAGCCCATGTATCACTAAGTTCTAGTTGCTTTCAAAACACACAAACAACAAAGCAAGTTTTTTGTTGTTGTTGTTTGGTTTTTTTTTTTTTGAGACGGAGTTTCGCTCTTGTTACCCAGGCTGGAGTGCAATGGCATGATCTCGGCTGACCGCAACCTCCGCCTCCTGGGTTCAGGCAATTCTCCTGCCTCAGCCTCCTGAGTAGCTGGGATTACAGGCACGTGCCACCATGCCCAGCTAATTTTTTTTGTATTTTTAGTAGAGACGGGGTTTCACCATATTGACCAGGATGGTCTCGATCGATCTCTTGACCTCGTGATCCACCTGCCTCGGCCTCCCAAAGTGCTGGGATTACAGGCTTGAGCCACCACGCCTGGCCAACAAAGCAAATTTTTAAAAAGATCCGTCTACATAAAATGATAGGTATTTTAGCAACTTCTGTGTGTATTTTGGAGGTTTTTTTTTTTTTTTTTGAGATGGAGTTTCCCTCTTGTTATCCTGGCTGGAGTGCAATGGCGTGATCTTGGCTCACCGCAATTTCCGCCTCTGTGTTCAGGCAATTCTCCTGCCTCAGCCTCCTGAATAGCTGGGATTACAGGCACGCGCCACCATGCCCAGCTAATTTTTTGTATTTTTAGTAGAGACGGGGTTTCACCATGTTGACCAGGATGGTCTCGATTTCTTGACCTCGTGATCCACCCGCCTCGGCCTCCCAAAGTGCTGGGATTACAGGTGTGAGCCACCGTGCCCGGCCTTTTGGAGGCATTTTACTTTTTTTTAGCATGCCAGCACTTTGATTTCATTCTACTTAATGACAACTTCAGTTATTTTTGAGAATGCATGAAGCCCAGCGTGGTGGCTCATGCCTGTATGTAATCCCAGCACTTTGGGAGGCCGAGGCAGGTGGATCACTTGAGGTCAAGAGTTCTATACCAACCTGGCCAACATGGCAAAACCCTGTCTCTTATAAAAATACAAAAATTAGGCAGGCATGGTGGTACGCACCTATAATCCCAGCTACTGAGGAGGCTGAGACAGGAGAATCACTTAAACCCAGAGGCAGAGGTTGCAGTGAGCCAAAATCACACCATTGCACTCCAGCCTGAGAGACAAAGTGAGACTCAAAAAAAAAAAAGAGAAAAGAAAAAAAGGAGAATGCATGGGATTGCATTTCCAAAGTCTAATGCATGTTGTCTGTTTACTTATAGATGGAGAGCATCCCAACTCATCAGGAGCATTCCAGCCTCAGACCTGCCCCAGGTCAGGGCAAAGGTTGCAGCCATGGAAATGCTGAAGGGTCAAAGGGCTGACCTGGGGCTCCAGAGGGCCTGGGAGGGCAACTATCTTGCTTCAGTAAGTCCAAGGGAAAAAAATGGAATCTACTCCTATTTCCCCTACAAAAAAAGTGACGAACATTTCTCCAAGAATTTGCAGAAAGAATAAAACACCTTTAGACACTAATTTCTATATGAGATACTAAGTTAAATACCCTTTACAACCTGGCCTTTGACCATTTAAACCTTCCCTTATATCATTCAGTGACTGTTTTTTAATTACCACCTTTATATTAATTATCCTCAGAGCTACACTTTATCCTCTCTCCCATTCCCTATTTTAAAATTTGTATAGGATCTTTGATGTTACCACAACCGTTTAGTAGCTTACCATCTGGGGTGAGGAGATAAAGAGTGCACGTGTGAAACTCCAAGTATGGTTCTAAAGCAGCACACTGAAAGGTTGCCTGTCCTTCTCAAATGCTAAGCACACTCATTCTCTTGTTTTCTTTCTCTTTCAGAAGCCAGATACACCTCAGACCTCAGGTACTTTTGTCCCCGTTGCTAATGAACTGAAACGGAAAGACAAATACATGAATGTCCTCTTTTCCTGTCATGTCCGTAAGGTAAGGCAAGCTTGAACCAGATCATCTTGGAAAGGAAAGACTAATTCAGTTGAAAGTCACTTAAGTGTGCCTGTAATAAAACATAACAATAGGTACATAGCTAGCTTCATCATCAGTGCACTAGACCTGTCTGTGCTGAGGCATTGTAGGAGTGACTGAAGTGACTATACCTTTAGAGATAGGGTATAAAGCTTTCCTAAGGGAAGTGATAACCATTTCTTCTTTTTTTTTTTTTTTTTTTGAGATGGAGTTTTACTCATGTTGCCCAGGCTGGAGTGCAGTGGCGCTATCTGGGTTCACGGTAACCTCCATTTCCCAGGTTCAAGTGATTCTCCTGCCTCAGCACTCCCAAGTAGCTGGGATTACAGGCGTGTGCCATCACATCTGGCTAATTTTATATTTTTAATAAAAACAGGGTTTCAACATGTTGATCAGGCTGGTCTCAAACTCCTGACCTCAGGCGATCCACCCGCCTTGGTCTCCCAAAGTTCTGGGATGACAGCCACCATGCCCGGCCAATTTCTTTTTAAAACTAGACTGAGGGGGACCTCTTTGAAGTCAGTGATTTGCATTTCACTAAATGTGTATCGTTTATAGCAGCTGTATTATCTGCTTTATATTTAATGGTCACTTAGTACTTTTTATACCTATATTATTTCTATAAAACAGGGTTCAGGGGATGAAGAACTGAGTTTAAAAAAGAAGAGTAGGGGCCAGGCACAATGGCTCATACTGTAATCCCAGCACTTTGGGAGGCTGAGGCAGGTGGATCACGAGGTCAGGAGCTCAAGACCAGCATGTCCAATATGATAAAACCCTGTCTCTACGAATAATACAAAAATTATGAGAGCGTGGTAGTGCACACCTGTAGTCCCAGCTACTAGGGAGGCTGAGGCAGGAGAATCACTTGAACCTGGGAGGCGGAGGTTGCAGTGAGCCGAGATTGCGCCATTGTACTCCAACCTAGGCAACAGAGCGAGATTCCATCTCAAAAGAAAAAAGAGTAGGGCATATTGGGATATGGAAGGTGAGAAAAAAAGTTACGTACTGTATTTGCTTGTCTGATGCAGGATACATGGGCTGCCATTTACCTGGAGATGATAGCAGTTGGGCAAGTGGAAGTTGGGAAATGAAAGGCAAAGGACTTAGCTAGTCATAAAAAGAAACCTTAAAATACTTGTTTAGGAGAACACAGAAGAATTGAAATTATCATTAAAAGAATATTTTGTAGAATTATCCAAATACATTTTCAAATATTAATAAAATTGTAATTTTTAAAAAAAAATACTGACTAGACTGATCCAAGAAGAGATAGTGACATAAATATGGCAATAGATAAAGGAGGAATTAAGAAAATTATCAAAGAATTGCCTAATAACAAAGGCCCAAGTTTAGGTGATTTTATAGGTGCTTCATTTCAAATCTTTTAAAAATAATAATTACAGTATTATTCAAATCAAAGTAATGAAATACAATTTTTCAGCTATAAATTTGGCAGTTTTCATCCTAAACTCCAACAGTTATAAGGATGTAAAGAGACATTTTTAGTAGGAGTATAAAGTATAGTTTTTTAGAGTGGACAATTTGGCAATATCTATCAAAATTTAAAATTCTCCTACTAAGTCTAAGAATTCTGCAATTCATGTTTATCCTACAAATATATCTGCACAGATATCCAGAGAGAGAGAGAGAGAGAGGTACAGTTTTGTACATTTTAACAGCCGGAAAAACTGGAAAAAATGTGAATATGTATTAATACGTAATTAAATTAATCAATTGTATGTGTACACAGTAGTATACAATGTTGTTATTAAAATGAGTGGGGAAAAAAGATACACGTGGGGAGAAAAGGACAAAATATGTGAAACTGGTTTTCAAGACAGTGGACATTAAGCAAGGAAAGACAGTGTTCCCTGAAATATGAAGAAAAAAATGAGGCGAGCCCTGCAATTTGCCAGTTTTCTGCTTTGAGAGACTTTCCAGTCCTAGGCAGGAACACAGAGGAAGGCTCAGGCAGACCCCAGTAGACAAAGACAAAGCTTTTTAGTAGTGAGAGAGAGAGAACTAAGGTAGTTAAAATTTGCAGAGCAGAGTATTAGAGAAGAGAGAGTTGCACAGAGAGAAAACTCTGAAGATCTGTCGAGGGTTCCCTTTGACTGTTCATCTGAGTACTGATCAGCACATGCATATGAGGAAATAACTCAAGGCTGGGAAACAGCAACCCAGGATTATAGGTAACAATGCGCAGTACTCACACAGGGTTGCAAATCATGCCTGTTCACACCAGCCAGATTAGAAAACCTCATGATTTATGAGGCATTGAATAGAGTACTGACAAGAGATTGCCTCAATAGGGGGTTATAATTAGCCCTTAACTAAACACTGTTCTAATCCTACCTAATAAATCTTAAACACACAACCAGAGATAACCAGTTCCCAAGTAACCTAACAGCATCCCAGAACAAAGCTCAAAAATGTTTATAGGAATACAAAAATATCCAGCTCACAGAAGGTAAAATTCACAACATGTGACATCCACTCAAAGTTACCAAGCTTACAAAACAACAAGAGACTACAACTCATAAGGAGAAAAAAAAAAATCAATCATTCAAACTGACCCAGAACTGATATAGAATTAACAGACAAGGTCATTAAAATTATTATGATGATTGTATTCTATATCTTCAAAAAGCTAGAGGAAAGATTGAACATGTTAAATAAACACATGGAAGATTTTTTTAATGACCTGCTTGAAGTTATAGAGATGAAAAATACAATGTCTGAGAGGAAAAAACATGCCTCATGGGATTAACAGCAGATTAGTCTTTGCAGAAGAAAAACTAGTGAATTTGAAGATATAGCAATAAAAACTACCCAGAATTAAACACAGAGAGAAAAATAAAAGTCTAAAACAAAGCATCAGGAAGCTGTTAGATAACTTCCTGTGGCCTTAATATAGGTGCAATTGAAGTCTCTGAGGGAAAGGAGAGAAAGGGGAGAAATAAAGAATATTGTTTAAAATAACAGCTGATATTTCCCCAAAATTTGATGAAATGTTAAACACACAGATCCAAGAAGCTCAACAAATTCTAAGCACAAGAAACATGAAGTAAACTATATTAAGGTACATTGAGATTAAATTGTTCTATACGAGTAATAAAGGGAAAAGAGACACAGAGGAACAAAGAAAGGATGCATCCAATTTCTTGTCAGAAGCAATGCAAGTGAGGAGACGGTGGAGCAATATCTTTAAAGTACCAGTGAAACAAACAACTCAGAATTCTATACCCAGCAAATATATCTTTCAAAAACCAAAGTGAAATAAAGACTTTTTTCAGACATATCTGAAGATAAACACTATAGGAAATGTTAAAGGAAGTCATCCAGATAGAAGGAAAATTATACCACATGAAAATGTGGACATGCACCAAAGAATAAAGAGCAAGGGAAGTGGTACCCTCATAGATTAACACATGCCTTTTCTTACTTAAATGTCTTTAAAAGACAATTGACTGTATACCAGTGTTTATGATACCATTATTCATAATAGCCAACAGGTGAAAGCAATTGAAATGTCCATCAATAGATGAATGAATAAAGAAAATGTGGTATAGGCCATGCGTGGTGGCTCATGCCTGTAATCCCAACACTTTGGGAGGCCAAAGCGAGTGGATCACTTGAGGCCAGGAGTTCAAGACCAGCCTGGCTACCATGGTGAAACCCCATTGCTACTAAAAAGACAAAAATTAGCTGTATGTGGTGGTGCGGGCCTGTAAACCCAGCTGCTTGGGAGGCTGAGGCACAAGAATGACTTGAACCTAGGTGGTAGAGGTTGCAGTGAGCTAAGATCACACCACTGCACTCCAGCCTGGGAAAGAGAATAAGACTCTGTCTCAAAAAAAAAAAAAAAAAAAGAAAAGAAAAGAGCCAGGGGCGGTGGCTCATGCCTATAATCCCAGCACTTTGGGAGGCCGAGGCAGGTGGATCACGAGATCAAGAGATTGAGACCATCCTGGTCAACAAGGTGAAACCCCGTCTCTACTAAAAATACAAAAATTAGCTGGTCATGGTGGCATACTCCTGTAGTCCCAGCTACTCGGGAGGCTGAGGCAGGAGAATTGCTTGAACTCAGGAGGCAAAGGTTTCAGTGAGCCAAGATCGTGCCATTGCACTCCAGCCTGGGTAAGAAGAACGAAACTCCATCTCAAATGAAAAAAAAAGAAAAGAAAAGAAAATGTGGTGTAGCCATACAATGGATAAAAAGCCATAAATACATGCTACAACCAAGGTGAACCTTGATATTATACTAAGGGAAATAACCAGAAACAAATGGATAAATATTGTATGATCCCACTTATTTAGGTACCTAGAATGATCTGATTCAGAGACAGAAAGTAGAATGGTAGATCTAAGGGTTGAGGAAAGAGAGGACTGGGGAGTTATTGTTTAATGAGTGTAGAGCTTCAGTTTGGAATGATAGAAGTCCTGGCTAGACAGTGCTGATGGCTGGGCAACAGTGTGAATGTGCTTAATGCCAGTGAAGCATTGACCTGTCTACACTTAAGAATGATCCCAGTTGAAAATTTTGTTTTGTGTATTTTATCAGAATTTTTTAAATGAAAAAATACAAATGGCTGCTTAAACAGAAATAGTGATATAGTAGTGTAGAGTTTATAATATATGTAGAAGTAAAATTTATGAAAACATTAGCACAAAGATGGGGGAAATGGAAATATACTATTGTATGCTTTTTATACCATAAAGTGATATAATATCAGTGGGCTGTGATATGTTATAAATATATTCTGTAAATCTTAGAAGAACCACTAAAATGGCAATACAAAACAATATAACTAATAAGCCAGAAAAGGAGAGAAACAAAATTGTTTTTTAAAAAATTTCAATGCAAAAGAAGGCAGAGAAATGTGGAAAAGGGAACAAAGAGCAAATGAGACAAATAGAAAACAAATTGAAAATGATAAATTTAAACCCGACTATATTGATAATCACATTAAATGTCAATGGTCTAAACACACTGCAATTAAAAGGCAAAGATCATGGCTTCTTGGCATGTGGATGTGTGTACCAACTCCAGAGCTCTCCAAACCCAGTAATTTTGAGTTTATGAAGGTTATACAGGCATGGTTGATGAAATCATTGGCTATGAGTAATTAACTTAATCTCCAGCCACTCTCCCCTCCATGAAGGTTAAGGGGTGGGGCTGAAAGTTCCAACCCTCTAATCATGCCTTGGTCTTTCTGGCAACCAGCCCACATCCTGAAACTATCTAGAAGCTCCCAGTCACCAGTTATCTCATTAGCAAACAGAAATTCTTATGTTGGGAATCTGGGACTAAGACTAAATAAACATCATAACAAAAAGGGATTCTATAACCCCTCTCACTCATAAAATCACAAGAATTTGGGGAATTTTGTGTCAGGAGCCAGGATGATGACTAAATATATATTTCTTATATCACAATCAGTGTTTGAACATTATAAGGAAGAAGAAAGAGTTCAACTCAATGTGATAGAGACTTGTTTTTTGTTGTTGTTGTTGTTTTGAGACAGAGTCTCACTCTGTTGCCCAGGCTAGGGTGCAGTGGTTCAATTTTGGCTCACTGCAACCTCCACCTCCTGGGTTTAAGCAATTCTCCTGCCTCAGCCTCCCAGTAGCTGGAATTACAGGTGCACACTACCATGCCTGGCTAATTTTTGTATTTTTAATAGAGACAGAGTTTCAACATGTTGGCGAGGCTGGTCTCAAACTCCTGACCTCAAGTGATCTGCCCGCCTCAGCCTCCCAAAGTGCTGGGATTACAGGCCTGAGCCACCATGCACAATCATCAATGTGATAGAGGCTTTTTAACAAAATGCAGAGCAGCTGGTCACAGTTAGAATGAAATAAATGTCATCAAGGAAGGACTGCTGGCAGTATCTTGGGGTAGGTACCACATTCCAGAGTTTAATTTTGAACTCTGAGATCCAGAAACCCTATTTTATAGGTATACCCAGAGTTGATCAAATAATCAAGAAAAGACTTTTGCTAACCAGATTCACACACTCACACAAAAAAGTATAAGCTATAATGCCGTTTGTAAATATAACAAAGGAATGTGCCATATCAGTGAGTCCTCATATTCACTATCTAGTATACCTTCTTTCTAGTATCAAGACAGCTGGGAAATCAAATTGGTAATCAGAGCAGTTGATCAAAGACAGCTGGATGGTTTTAAGAATTAGGTCATTTGCTACAGAAAAGCCTAATGCCTTTATCTTTGCAGCAATGTCAATTTTATGTCTGACAGAGAACATGTCTTTACCTGGGTCCTGCTGGATTCAAAACTGAAGCATTCTTATTCATGTTCCTGTATTTCCAAGTTCAATGCAAAAATACTGTTTGTTCACACTGTAGCTTAAATATGTCTTTAGAAACTGTTCAATCCCAAGCCTACACCAAGGTAAACTTGATACAATTTCAGTAAAGCCCTCTTCTTCATGCTTTGATTCCCTTGAAACAGCCACTTTCCATTAACCACATAAAAATGTCCTTTAAGGTGGAAGACTTCTGTAAATAGCTACTCTCACCTAGAATGTGTTCTCTCCTTTTCTGCCTCTCCAGAGAAACTTTATCTGTGGCCCCCTGTGGTACGGACTAAACCTATAGACAGATCATTTGTAGTGTTTAGGGAAAAATAAATGGTAGGGATTTTTTTCTTTGGTTGAAGGTTTTAGTTTTGGATAATAGAAGAAACAAGATGAAAGTTTACCTAATACTGAGTCTATAATCTAGTTTTTCTATTACTGTATGAATTTAAGTGGAAGAAAGGAGTGTTTTTATGCCATAATTATGTCTGGAATTTATATCTATATGTAGAATTTTTTCCTTTGCCATTTTGATATAGCTAAATTATGCAGTCTAAGGCTTTTACTTTGTTACCTGATGTCCTTCCCACTCAATTCGTATTTTGAGAATAATTTGAGCTGTGGAAACAGAAGGTAAAGATTTGCGATGTGGTCTCTTTAGAAATTACATTTTTTGTATATAAAAATGTAATATTTCCAAACAGTGTTTTAATACAATTACTGCTTTGAGGTTTCTGTTTGTTGTTTTTAGATTAACTCGGGGACATGTAAAAAGAACATGCACCTTACTTGTTTTGACTCTGGAATGACCTTATGAAATTATGTAACAAGTTCTTTTTAATTATATTCTTTTGCACTATGCTCATGTGTTTCTCAGCATGATTCCACAAAAGATGAGGTGACGACTTCTACTTATTATTGTTTCTTATTTATTTATTAACAGGGTCTTCTTTTGTTGCCCAGGCTGTCATTACAGCCTCAAACTCCTGGGCTCAAGCAATGCTCTTGCCTCAGCTTCCCAAGTAGCTAGAATTAGCTATTACTCAGTACCTATTTTAGATATTCTCTAAGCGCTCTAAGATTCATACAAGTGATAGTAAGTGTTCTTCAACGTGGGTTTTACAGAACCAGTATTCTATTGAAGATTAGCAGGTGTTGAAAAAGGGTTTCATAGTTAAACACTGGGCTAAACATGCTCATTAACTGCAGAATTCTCAGAGCCCTTAACATATTCATGGGATATGAATATCTTAGTGGAGACTGTGGTTTGCAGTGTTTTTCAAACCAACTTGTCCGTGGAACCCTTACTTTCGCGAAGCCTCATGTAAGACTTTGTGAGGCTAGAACAGGAGAGCTTAGAAAAATGGTGCTATAGAAGCTCTACACTCACTCTGTTTCAAGTTTTCTGATAAGTGCCAATCTTCTGTTGTAGCAAAAACTGTTGCTATGTAAAGTTATTTACTAAGAATAATAATTATTTCACCATATAGATGCTATTTTACTCCTCATTACAGACACCATTGTAGTCAAGTTGAAGACTGAAAAAATGTGCTCTGGTTATAAAGGAAATGCTTAGAGAACTGACTTATTTCTAAAACTGTGGGGTAAAGGGAAGAAGATTGAATAAAATTCAAACTAAAATTTAAATTTTAGTTTGCTATGCCTTACCTATAGCAATATATCCTACTATATCCTATCCTGCCAATCTTAATTTAGTTAGCTAAATAGCCTATATTTTCAAATTGATCTCTTCCTTCTTTGTTTGCATCTTGAAAACAAGAACTTGAAAGAGGGGATGGGGGATACAGATCACAACTGTGCCTTCTTTTCTAGTTGAAGAGGGCTTTTTAAGTGTTTTTGGTTTGGTTTGCATTTTTTTCCTTCTAGTCACTGAAAAACATGACACTTTAGTGGTTCAAAGATTTTTAGTGCTAGGTACCTTGATTAAAATAGTACCCAAGTGGCTGGGCGCAGTGAGTGGCTCAAGCCTGTAATCCTAGCACTTTGGGAGGCCAAGGCGGGTGGATCACGAGGTCAACAGATCAAGACCATCCTGGTCAACATGGTGAAACCCCGTCTCTACTAAAAATACAAAAAATTAGCTGGACATGGTGGCACATGCCTGTAATCCCAGGAGACTGAGGCAGGAGAATTGCCTGAACCCAGGAGGCGGAGGTTGCAGTGAGCCGAGATTGCGCCATTGCACTCCAGCCTGGGTAACAAGAGCAAAACTCCGTCTCAAAAAAAAAATAGTACCCAAGTATAGCTCGATGTGGTAGTGCATGCTGCTAGTCCCAAAAACTTAGGAGACAGGAGGACCACTTGAGCCCAGGAGTTTGAGACTGCAGTGAGCCTCTGGTTGAGCCACCGCACTCTATCTTGGGTGACAGAGTGAAACCCCCATCTTTTAAAAATACATGTGTACTTATTACCCAAGTCTAAGTAGCTAGCTACTTATTTATAAAATGTCCTGTGGTTAATTCTGCTCTTAGAAAAAGATTTACCTGAAAAGGTGAATTTTCTCTGATCCTCTAATAAAGTCGCATTCTACACTCACACACACAGTCTCACACACACACACACATTCACACACACACACACTCACATTCACAAACACACACACTCTCACACACACACACTCACACACTCTCCCAATCTTATTATCTAGTTTGTTTTCTTTGTATCATTATATGAAATTATTTTTGTTAGTTTCCTATCTGCCTCATCCCTGTATACTAGTCTCGGATTCTTATTATAACCAAGGGCTTCATATTATTCCTTTGTATAATTGGATTATTTGTCTTTTAGTTATTGAGTTGTATTAGTTCTTTACATACTCTAGATACAATTCCTTTATCAGATGTATGATTTTTAAAGTTTTTCTCTCATTCTATGGGTTTGCCTTTTTACTTACTTGATGGTGTCTCGGTTACATATGTTTAGTCCTTTAATTCTTCTATGCTTTTCTTGTTTTCCATGTTCAATTGTAAATTTTCAATTGCCAAATTCCACAAATCTGAAAACAGCTACTCCTTTTAAATCTTTATTGCATCCAGTAAAGTGGCTATACATAGTTCACACCTATTAAGGAATGTGTCTTCACAATCAGCCAACTTGATTTCATTCCTGATGAAATACTATGGTTTATTGGTTTGTTCCCTTACAGGTAAATCGATTTAGTAAGGTGGAAGACAGAGCAATTTTTGTCACTGACCGCCACCTATATAAAATGGATCCCACTAAACAGTACAAGGTGATGAAGACTATCCCTCTATACAATGTAAGTCCTCCGTGATTCTCTCTGGATAAAGATTCTTAACCTGGTGCTCATGGACCACTAATGGGTCAATAGACTGAGTTCTGGAATCTTTGGGGCTTTAGGATGCCCATGAATTCCTGAAATTTTGTGTGTCATATGTTTTGTAGAAATGTACAGTTTCTAAAAGGAGGAGCCAAAGCTTCCGAGAGATTAATGCAGACATGTTTTTGAAGTGTAAAGACTACTGATTCTTTGTGATGTTTCTCTATTCCTGATCCACTGCTTAAGTGCAGTGGCATATAATGCATTTTCTTATTTATTTTCATAAGGTTTGTTTTTATATGGAAATGGAATTAGGTAGAAAATTGGTAGGGGATTACCTAAAACTATTTTTCTCTTTTAAATGTAAAATTTATGCTGCTTCCAGAATTCTTTTCACCATATATTATGTGCATATTTCGTTGTCAGTTATGTGATCCCTGCTGTAAGTTCACTTTCTTATTCACTATAACCATGTGGTTTTCTCATTCTGTCATCATTCGTTATTTCACATATGAAATTTCATGGGCATCTCCTTGAATCTAAACATGAGTTTGTTTGTTTGTTTTTAATTTGTCCTTCTTAATAGAGTCTACTTCACAAGTGACTTGTTTATTCTGATTCTTCAGAAAGATCCTACTGGAATATGGGATCTTTTCATGTGTCAGGTGATTTTCCTCTGTTAGTTCTTAAAGAAGGAAGACTGTGTTTGTCTAATACTGGGAACTATGAGGAGTATTACTTAGAGATTATTTTAAATCCTTTTGGTTGCTGCAAGAGGGAATAGGAAACATATTGCTTTATAGTTTTATTTTGCTAAATCAGGAGTCCTTTTAGTTATAAGGTACAAGGAAGGCAAACCTGGATTTGCTGAATGCTTTAGAATGCTTTAGACTATGGGGTGGAGATCTGTCTTCATTATGCACGCCTCACCCAACCCCCTCACACACATACCTTTTTCGCTTTCAATAGGAAGACCAATAGATTGCAACTAAGAAGAAATTATAAGACACTCTTTATTTTATTTCATTTTATTTTTTAGACATTCTCACTCTGTTGCCCAGGCTGGAGTGCAGTGGCACGATCTCAGCTCACCACAACCTCTACCTCCCGGGTTCAAGTGATTCTTATGCCTCCACCTCCCAAGTAGCTAGGATTACAGCTACATGCCCCCATGCCCAGCTATTTTGTATTTGTAGTAGAGATGGGGGTTTTGCCAAGTTGATCAGGTAGTCTTAAACTCCTGGCCTCAAGTGATCCACCCACTTTGGTCTCCCAAAGTGCTGGAAATACAGTCATGAGCCACCACAACCAGCCCTGAAACACTCTTGATTATATATAGTCTCCTTATATATAGACTTATAATCTTCGACTGCAGTCCAGTTTAAGCCTAATAACCCTCCAATCTTGAAGTAGGAAATGAAGAGAGATGAGGCAGAAAATAATATTTTGTCAAAGTCTAATGAAGTGTGAAACCAAAAAAACTAATTGTGGTATGTGTTTTATTCCTTTTCCTTGCTTTCTATTAAGAGGAGATTCATCAGGCACATAATATGAATTCAATAAATAGTTAAACAACTCTTTGAACCATCAATGGGATGTATACACCCTGTTGCAGATGCCGTCAGCACCCTACCCTTACCGTCTTGTAGTCCCATACCATATTTGTGCATACCAGCCTAATTTCCAGCAGCCAACATCTTTGTCAAAAAGCTGCCCTCAGGCTGCTATAACCCACATTGCCCTCACTCACAGAAGGCTGGAAGTGCCTGGGCACTCAATGTGTGATGGGTGTGGGGTATAAAGACTCCGTCTCCATCACTCATTGGCCAAGACAATTCCAGGCTATCCACACTATTTCCTAGAGCTTCCCTGTAGGAGTAAACTGCAGTTGCCCACAGTGGTGGCTGCCTTCCCTGAACCACCTCCCTACTCCCTTGCCAGTGTCCCTGAACATCCCAAATCAACTCTGTATACTCATTAGCCTTTGTCTCAGGGTCTGCTTCTGGGTGGAACTAAGTTCAGAAGAACAGCCACCTTTTCAGAGGGAGCAAATTCGATGTGATAGGGAACTTCCAACTAGACGTATCATTGTTTTTAAGTCTGAAGCAAATATGTCAAAATACTAAATATGGATGATAGGGACATGAGTATTTGGTATATTACTCTTTATACTTTTCCGTATGATTGAAATATTTTGAAATTAAAAACAAAGTTTAAGATAAAAAACATTTTTAAAACATGATGATGCTAATAATAGTGTTGGAGAAGCTGGGAGGGGATGAAGGAAAGTGATTTCAGTTTTTTTTTTTTTTTTTTTTTTTTTTTTTTTTTTTTAATTTTTTATTGGATTATAGGTTTTGGGGTACATGAGCAGAGCATGCAAGACAGTTGCGTAGGTACACACATGGCAGTGTGCTTTGCTTTTCTTCTCCCCTTCACCCACATTTGGCATTTCTCCCCAGGCTATCCCTCCCCACCTCCCCCTCCCACTGGCCCTCCCCTTTTCCCCCCAATAGACCCCGGTGTTTGATTTCAGTTTTTACCACGTTGAGTTTGAGATTTTGGTGAAATTACAAGTATAGTTTCCATAGATAGTTGGAAGTCTAATCATATAGAGTGGGGAAGAATTCAACACTTATAATCTAAGAGTGGACCCATGTTTAGTCGGAGGCTGAAATTATGAGTTGAGAGAGAGAAAGGGGGTGGATTATTCAAAAACATCCACAGTTAATTGGTGAGAAAAAGAGAATCACTGAAGGAAATGGAATAAAAATGAAATTTCTTAATGGTCCTCCTTTTTCTCATCTCTCTTTTAATGGACTAAATGATTTCTAATTTCCCTTCAGTTCTATAAGTTTATTAATTATTCTAGGAAAGAGGATAACTATGGGAATATCGTGTTTCAAGATCAAATTGTTACGTTTTCAGAAATAAGAGTAGTCAGTATACAGGGCATAGCAAAGGGCGTCCACACTTGTCTCGTTCTCTTCCTTTCATTTCTCCTTCTATGTAGGCTCCTATCCTGTCTTAGTTGGGCCTTTCTGGCTCAAGGGAACAGACTGTGACCACATTCTGTCTTAAGTAATGTTTCTTTTTTTTTCCCCTGAGATGGAGTCTTGCTCTGTCACCCAAACTGGAGTACTGGAGTGCAGTGGCATGATCTTGGCTCACTGTGACCTCTGCCTCCCAGGTTAAAGCAATTCTCCTGCTTCAGCCTCCCGAATAGCTGGGATTACGGGCACCCACCACCACACCTGGCTAATTTTTTTTGTATTTTTAGTAGAAGTGGGGTTTCACCATGTTGACCAGGCTGGTCTTGAACTCCTGACCTCATGGTCTGCTCACCTCAGCCTCACAAAGTGCTGGGATTGCAGGTGTGAGCCACCATGCCTGGCCCCATTTTTAGTAAAGGTACACATGGTAGTAAGGGAATCAAATCCTATGGAAACATACAGGAAATGCCAGCATTCAGGTTTTAAGGCAGCTCTAAGGGAGCATGCTATTATTTAGCCTCCTCTACAACCTGAGTTTTGCATAGTCTATGTTTCTGCCATTCTTCTTCTCTTTGTCCGTCTGCTTACTCACAGTTACTTCTTTCTTGCCAGACAGCATGGGTCAGCTTTAGGCTAAGGTCTGAGTCAGCCAACTCAGCAAACCATTAGAGTTTCATCTTACAGTAACATATTGAACACAGTATCTCAGATGAGGCCTCACCATAGCAACCAATGCTGGGTGATCCAGATCAGTATTTTTGTTCATACCAAATGCTTGCAAATCTATGCATAGTCTTTCCTAATTTTTTCTGATATGGCATGGATAAGTCCTGCTATTAATTTGGGGGTATAACTGATCTTTTCCCTCCACTACTTATGACTCTCATCCTTAGTCCCAAGCCACATTTGGACCTTGGTCACATATCATGCTGAATATTGGGGTGAGTCAGTGGATTTTCCCAGCAGAAAGGAGCAGCAGAAAAGAAGTGCTTCAAATAGGTCAGATTGGCCAGGCATCCTAGGTCCTTGGATTGTTCCCAGCTACTCCCACTTCAATTGCCAGGTTCCCCGTCTTTGTCAAACAGGACCTAAAATTGTGCTCGTGAACCTCCAGGTTGGGTGAAAATTCAGCTGAAGTTGCAATCCGGTAGTATGTCTAATCATTCCTGAACCTAGCAGAAAGTGGTTCCTCTGTTTCCTTAACTGCCTCCAGCCATGCACTGTGGGACCAATATTTGTGGTTTCCCTAATCCACTATAAAATATACCCACCCAATTCCACTATCGTTACATCTCCTAATGCATTGAATGTCTGCAAATCTGCAACTAACTTTAATGGGCACATCAGCCATCTCCCATGTGTCACCAGGGATAGATTAAGTAACATCTTCCTCCCTACAGACCATGAACTGCTGGCTTTCCACACTGGGTGGAACCATCCTCCTTTGCCCCTCCTTGAGATGCTGCAGCCAACTGTACACCCCCTCTCGAGAGTTGCTTTTTGCAGCATCCTGGTTCTCAGTTCTTCCTGCTAGGATCTGAGTTGTAATGAACAGAGATTTAAGGGACCTCAAGTAGATAGGAGGTGGGAGATTTTAAATTGCATCTGGGTCAGAGAGAATAGCAGTCTAGAAATTACCTTCTTTGGGATTTTAGGCAGTTATACATCAGATCATCTGATCACACACTCAATAACTAAACCATTCAATCCAGATCATTACTAAATGTTCATTATGTGCCAGCCACATGGGTATTAGGAACACAGAGGTGAAAAAACAGGCAAAAATCTCTGCAGTCTTGGAATTTACATTCCAATGGGGAAAAGTATATGTGTGTATATGTATATACACACACACATGATGTAGTCCACAGAAGGTGATAAGGGAAAAAATAAAATCAGGAAAGAAGATAGAAAGTGTGAGGGGTGTTATAATTTTAAATAGGATGACCAGGCCTCACTGAGAAGTTGACATTTAAGCAAAGACTT